TTCTTCGCACACAAGGCCTCCCCGCTCTCATGTGCACTCTCCAGCTTCTGGCAGCCTTTCCGCCGCGCGTTTCCACTCCTCTCTGGCCCATTAGCAGTATTTTTATAACATTCTGTAATGCACAGAGCCGTGTGCCAAACCTCAAGAGCACATTATTTCCCAACGTCTTTGTTATATCCATCCCCAGGCCCTCCGCCCGTGCGTTTCCAAACACAGAGCTGCAGCTCCCCGGGGCAGCCGGGAGCTCAGCACCGTGCTCCTGGTACCCAGAGCCTTCCCTTCCCGCCTGCCCAATCCCAGTCCTCAGCCCTGGGCTCAGTCCAGGGATGTCTGGAATGCAAATAGCCCCATCCCCATCGCCTGCTGCTTCTGGCCACGCTCAGGCATCTGCCGTTCTCCAGGCTGCAGGGCAGGTGACCCATTGGAGATAAACCCGGAGCATCCTGGTTGCTCTCCTGTGCTTCACCTCATGCTAGGCTGCCTGAAAATAAAGGTGTCAAAGCGATGTGTTGCTGCTCAGAATCCCCTGGAAGAGGGTGCCCTGGAGAAGTACCCACCTTCCTCTGGGCTGCTTTGTACTTCGGATGCCTCAAAGCCCTGAGATGTGCAATCTGGGACACCTAGGGATAAGCAAACCTGTGGTCCCTTCCTCCTCTCTGAGATGGGCTCTGTATCCTTCCGTTACTCCATCCATAGATGCACACTGTCCCCACCGTATGTGCACTGGTGTCTCCATCTCTGCAGGGTATGAGACAGCCTGGCTACCCCCATTCTCTGTGGGGTGCTGCTGGGCTGCTGGCCACCAGTTGAGCTACCCATGTCCTCCCACCCACCTGCTGAAGGACACTGATGAGACACCTTCCTGCATTTTGTGCCTTTTGCACCATTACGTAGATCCTGGCCCCTCCAACATGAAATCCCCACCATCAGTAATCCCTGGGTCCTTCCACAGGCACTGGCACATCCCACTGGAGTTCACTGGTCCTTGTGGGCCAGAGACATTATGGGAAACACCACTGAGAGCGGTCCAAAGGCTGATACCGAAGCTCCCTCATCCATCCCAGCAGCTCCCCTTTCAGCACAATCTGATCCCCTTTAGCCATTTCCTAAGCCGCGTTCCAACTCTTGTACTAATCCACATTTTCTCTGGTTTAACTCATAATTTCCCATGTGGCATCATAGCAAATACTTCACTGAAGTCAAGACAGATTATATCGACCACATTTCTGGGCTTAGAAAATCAGTTCCCTTATCAAAAAGAGTTATCAGGTTAATCTGGTGCGATATATCCCTGGCAAGCCCCCCTTCTATTTTTCTCTCGTTTTCCATTTGTCTCCATGTCTTTAATTGCTCCCTCTTCCAAGCACACCCCGCGGCCCCGCTGTGCTCTGGGGTCAGGCTGTCTGACCGGGATTTTTCCTTCTCTCAAGCACAGGAGACACATTGCCTCTCCCCACAGCACTGGGTACTGCCAATGACCTCTCAGCCGCTAATGAGCATTGCTAATGAACAGGAGATGTCCTTACCTGGAGATGAGGTGCTCCCCAAGCCTTCAGTGAATTGTTTTCTTTGAAGGTGCCTACAAGGTGGAGGATCATCTCCAGGTTTTATCCTCACTCGTCTTCCCCAGCCTGCGCTGCCCTCGCTCTCAGCATCACCGCTCAGACCCGTTGGGGTTCATTCAGAACCGGGCTCTGCAGAGATCACCTTTGATCTCCCGTGAAACCTGGCTGCATAGCCAGCTCTGCTCTTCTCTCCTCGTTTGCTCTGTATTTATATGGCTAACCCCCCTTTTCATTTCCTCTGCAAGGTCTCGCTCAGCTTGACTCCTGGCAGGTCTCCCTTTATCCCTGCGTTCGCTGACCCCCACGACAGAGCTTGCTTTGCTAACTGACATCCTTTCTCGGTCCTCGTCGCTTCCCCGCTCCCTCCCCACATCCTTCCTGCAGCGTTGTCTGCTCAGGAGTGCCCCTGCCTCGCTGGGGGGGCACGCTCCAGGTACTGTCATTGATTTAATGAGATCCCCAGCACTTCTCCGTACACGGCCCCCAGCCCCTCACTCCCGGTGCTGTCATCTTTCTTACTGTCCCAGTAAGAGGGAAAAGCAAAGGCACAGGCCTGTTTTCATTTAACTTCCTGTGCAATTGAAATGAAACGAGTCCAAGATCCCTCAAATCCCAAGTTTAGGCTCCCAGTGCGCTCAGCTGCAGCAGGGATGCTACCACAGAGCCATGCTGCAAACCTCCCATGAGCCGCCCATCTCCACCTCCACCTCCACGTCCATCCTCATTCCCATCTTTGCCTCTATCCCCATCCCCATCCCTATCCCCGTCCCTGTCCCCATCTCCATCCCCATCCCTGTCTCCATCCCCATCCCTGTCTCCATCCCCATCCCTGTCTCCATCCCCATCCCCACTGCTCCGCAGCAGCCCACACACCTCCAGGGAATCAATCATGCCCCACAGAAGCAGGAAAGCTGGGGGGGTGTCGGGGGGCATGCAGGAAGGGCAGGCAGGAATGGCAGGGGTGGGAAAAGAAACCTTGCAGACAACGTGAAATTAAAATCCAGGCAATTAAATTAATTACCACTAAAAGCATCTCACCTGATTAGTTCCTTGCATACTTAATTGCATTAACAACACCAGGCATTCACTTATTTATTTGTCACCCTCTCTCCTGGGGATGGTGGCCCTGCAGTGTCCGACCAGGTTCCTCAGCTGCCCGATGCTTAGGGGGGCTGTAAGCTGCCAGCAAACGGGAACACGTGGTAATAGGAAACAGCAGGATTTGGGCTCTAATGCTGAGCAATTCCCATGGGTCCCTGAGCGGATTGACAGGGATTACTATTAGCGAGGTGCTTAGCAGACGGAAGAGGCATTGCGAAGTCACGGGGATGCCACAGCTACAGAGGAGGCGGTGTGAGGCTGCAGCCCCCTCACCATTCCCCTCGTTTCCTCCAGACCTGGGCTGCAGCCCTCCTCGCACTGGCACAGCCTGGGACCTCTCCCCAGCTGGGATCTGGTGAGCACGTGCCCAAAGCAGAGGAGCTGCTCAGCCTCCTCCTGCTGCCGCCTGCTCTGCACCCAGCTTCTGCTTTCCCTGCCTCCCAACCACCTGTGAACACCTCCTCACTCCGACCGCACGGCTGAGAGGCCCCTGACTCGTCAGCCACTGCCTTTTTGTCTGCCATGCTCCCAGCCCCGACCCCTACTCGCTGCCCTATTGCTAACCGCTGCCCTCCTCGCCTGCTTCTCACAGTGCCTTTCAGCTTCTTCCAGCATCTCTTCCCCTTGGCGCACGCACCAGCATCCCTCCCAGCGGACCCTGAAACCGTGAGTTGGACACCATGCAGCATCCCTGAAACTTGTCTGACCTACAGGTGCAGAGAGCCCCTCCTGTGTGATTTGCAGGGCTTATGCAGGCCATGGCTGGTCCTCCTGCAACCCTCTGACCCTGGATCACGGTTGAGGATGGAAACACCGCACTGGTTCTGATTCAAGGTGCTGAATCACAGAATCACAGAATGGTCAGGGTTGGAAGGGACCTCTGGAGATCACCCAGTCCAACCCCCCTGACAGAGCAGGGTCACCTACAGCAGGTTGCACGGGACAGCATCCAGGGAGGTTCTGAATGCCTGTAGTGTGGGAAGGTGAGACACGGAGCAGAGAAAGGCTCTGCCACGTCCCCAAACCTGTACGGCCACATGATGCATCCCCAGTTGCCGGGGCTCCCAGCTGGTGCCTCACAGCATCCTCCGCAGCAGTCACCAGCCCACAACCAGCCACGCTGTCTGGTGCTCCCAGACACCCACCACTGCCGGCTACAGACGACATACTGCAAAACACACAGTTGCTATCAGCTGTACCAACACAGCAGCCCACCAAACACACAGCTGCTATCAGCTCTCAGCATTGTGTGAAATATAGCACAACTCTTATCTCCTGCACTGAGACCTGTAAATCAGCGCATCTCGCGCCTACGATATACAAAATCCTGGGAAACGTGCAGCTGTCCTCCAACACGCGTGTACGCAGGGGCTCCAGCAGACACACAGCGACTGCCACCACCTTTTGGATGCTCCTCTGAAACAACTATGTTGCAGTAACCTCAGCCAGGACTTCTCCTTCCCATCTGCAATACCCTCTGACAGCTCCGCCCCAGCAACTTCCGCCTGCACAGATGGTGGTTGTTGCACCAGGCTGGATGGAGAGGCAACATCCCTTCCCAAATTATTCATGGAGCATCACTTACTCTACTGACTTTGATGCAAAGTTTGGGGCAGGAGGGGCTGATTCCCGTATCCTGCTGCTGGGATTAGCACACTGTGGGGAGCTCGTATGGTGTGGTGCAGCACACAACCACACATATGGACAGTACAGGGGCTGGCGTGGCAGGAGGGGGCTGTGAGGGGTCAATACCGGAGCAGAGAGTATGGCTCTGCCCCCCGCAATGTCACACGCCGGGGTACTTACTTCCCACCCTCAGGCAGGTCTGGTATTTGAGGTGCCAGGAGGAGCCCTCGTAGCAGGAGTACTGGCCACTCTGCGTCAGGTCGACGTTCTTCAGGATCAGGTAGGACCCATTCAGGTGGGACTCATCGATGTCGGTGCCATTGGCCGTCCAGGTCACAGCTGCATCCCAGTCCATGGAGCCACACTTCATGGTGACATCCGCGCCTACCCGCTCGTATTGGATGTGGGTTTCTGTGGGGAGGAAGAGGAGAAAACCAGGTGAGCTCGGAGCCCCGTGGGCAGTGCTGCCTTGGAAACAGCATCTTACCATCACTTGTATAGGAAGGACTGGGGCATGGACTGACACTGTGATGGTGGCCAGGGAAGCCTGGCTCTGTTCTCAAGTTCTCCCGCTGGAACTGATAATGATTTATTTTAATCTTAGACCAGAGAGGATCAACTGGCATGGACTGGCTGATTGGGACTCCTGGACCACGGAGCAGAGAGTATGGCTCTGCCCCCCGCAATGTCACACGCCGGGGTACTTACTTCCCACCCTCAGGCAGGTCTGGTATTTGAGGTGCCAGGAGGAGCCCTCGTAGCAGGAGTACTGGCCACTCTGCGTCAGGTCGACGTTCTTCAGGATCAGGTAGGACCCATTCAGGTGGGACTCATCGATGTCGGTGCCATTGGCCGTCCAGGTCACAGCTGCATCCCAGTCCATGGAGCCACACTTCATGGTGACATCCGCGCCTACCCGCTCGTATTGGATGTGGGTTTCTGTGGGGAGGAAGAGGAGAAAACCAGGTGAGCTCGGAGCCCCGTGGGCAGTGCTGCCTTGGAAACAGCATCTTACCATCACTTGTATAGGAAGGACTGGGGCATGGACTGACACTGTGATGGTGGCCAGGGAAGCCTGGCTCTGTTCTCAAGTTCTCCCGCTGGAACTGATAATGATTTATTTTAATCTTAGACCAGAGAGGATCAACTGGCATGGACTGGCTGATTGGGACTCCTGGACCACCTCCATACCTCCATCTCACAGGATGCCTTCCTCTGATATTTACCTTGGAGAAGACGTGTCAGGGATGCATGTATGGTTCACCAGCCAAATGCCCCACAGCACAGCCAGCAAGTCATTGCTGCTCCTGTACCTACGTGTCTTGTTGCAGGATGCACACCAAATGCACACATCGGAAATTCCCAGCAGAGAGGTGACAAAGCCTCAGGACTCGTCACCAGCAAACTCAAGGTATTTACTAGTGGAGGTGGGAAGCAGGCAGCTGCCCTTGCGATTCCCTGCCTAGGAAATTGGGTGGGAGGACTGCAACCCAACGGCGCCGTGCTTTGGAAAGGGGCAGCTGCTCAGTGCGCGCTATGGTATTCGTCTCCCTGCCCGGCTTTTCTTCTCTCTCTACAATAACACGATGCCTTGCTGAGCTGTTTGATTCAGCGTGTTGCTAGTGGGGCAACACAGCTCATTGGGCACCAGCTGCCTAATTGAATTTTCTCAGGTTTCTGGACAGGAGCTCGAGCTGACATTCATTAATGATCCTTAACAATTGAATCTCTCCCGTCTTGCTACACTGGCTGTGCTGAGCTGCGTGTGGCAAGGATAAAACCCTGTGTGTGTGTATATGTGCATGACACAGGGTGAAGCAGGACAGGGGGATGAGTAGAGGATGAGGTTTCTTCAAGGCTTCATCAAGCTTTTGTGCACAGACAAGGACTGTTTGGTTCTCAAAATACTCCTGGGTTTCAAAAACACATTTGACAAGATGCCTCCCAAGGAAACCAAGCAGCCCTGACACAGGAGGAAAGTCCCTGCAAGGATTTATAGCAGCTAAAGGTCAGGAGACCAAAGGTGAGAACAAGTGGTCAGACGTGGCAGTAGAAGACGTCACCGGTGAGGTTCGACAGAGATCAGAGCTGGATCAGAGCTGCCCAACACCCTCGTAACTCATGGGGAAAAGGGGGTCGAGGCAGCGAGAGGAGAGGGCGTGCTACTGAGGCTGCCAGGACAGCCGAATTACAGCTGGGTGGAAAAGCACTGCAGAAGGACATCACGGCACAGACTCACCAGGTGGTAACACCATGTCATGAAACGCAGAGGGATGCACACAGGGAAAATCAAGCCTTGCTTTCCCCACCACTCACAGCTCCAAATGAGCTGCAGCCTCCGTGGAAACATATCTTGGAGTTATTGTGCTCACTTCCCCGAAACCATCAGCTCAGTGGCAACCAAAACCGCAAACCCAACGGTAGGAATTATTCAGAAAGGGATCTAGAAGAAAATGGAAAGCACTGTACCCTAAAACCCACGCACAGATCTATCCCCGTGACATTAGAGTACAGTTCAGCTGAAAACAGGGTAAAGAGAGAAAATGGGGAAGAGCAAAGGCTGGAAACAGCCCCCACCTAAGGATGGCTTAACAGACTTGATCCCTTCATACGTAAAAGGAGACAACCGAGTGGAGACGTGATAGACACCTAAGCAATGATGAGTGACATGGAGAGGATGAATAGAGAAGGACCGCTTGCTCCGTCTCCTAATAAAATAATTAAGGGGCAGCAAATGAAAACAAGAAAAAGAAAGTGCTTTTTCACACAAAGTGTGATTAAATTACAGAAACCCATGTCCATCAAATGCTATGGATGTCAACATTTTGGGGAAAATAGTGATTAAATGAATCCATAGAAGAAGACACCACCCAGGGCAGTAAAACACTGAGCTGCCTGGTGACCCCAAGGAAGCTGCAGGCAGCTGATGGTGGGGAGGGACGGGAGAAGCACCCTCCAGGCTTGTCCTGCTCTTTTCCCCCTCTCTAGACATCAGCCCCTGGGTCCTGTTGACAGGTGGGACCACATGGGCATGATCCAGCCATTCCTTGTGTGAAAGCCCACAGCCTGAGCCCATCTGCAAAGGAGAGAGCCCCAGGGTGAAGCTGACCCTGTGGGAGACTCTGGCAGGTCTGAGTCCTGCAGATGGTGTGTCAGGACACCTACTTCAGATAGGGAAGCAGCAGCTTTAGGGATGCTATCCCTGCTGGGAAGGGGGTGCTAAGAACAGACGAGGAAAGACTGGGTTGCTGTGAGTAAGGTGCTGGTGAGATGCCTCAGAATCATCTTAGACATTAGCCAAGGTGAGGACCTTTGAGAGACTGCGTGGATCACACAAGACTGTTTCAAGTGTCTTAAAAAAGCTTAGAGCACATACCACCAGGCAGACAAAGGGGAGAACATCCAAGCTGAGGTGTCTGTGTGAGGAAGCGTAGCTGGAATGGGCCCAGATAAACAGGCAGATAGACAGAAGCATAGAAGACGGATGGGTGGATGGAAGAATGAATGCATGTGATCACAGACAGATGGACAGCTGGCTGGAGGGGCACAGATGGGATGGAGGGAAGTGTATGAAGATGAACGGGTGGATGCCCATGCTACTGGATGGATGGATGGATGGGCATATATGGGGATGCAGAGATGTGTAAGAGGATGGAGGGATAAGAATATAAGCAGGTGGGTCAGTGCAGGGAGGGATGGAAGGACCAGCGAACAGCAGTGGGGTTGGGTGGATAGTTGATGGTTTGAATGGCTGTGGAGATGGATGGATGGATGGATGATGGATGGACAGATGACTAAGCAGACAGGTGGAGGGATAGTTATAGACAGCAGAGCTAAAGTAAGAGTCCCAGCACCTTACTCAAGTTCTCCTCTAATTTCTTCTATTGCATAAAGTAAAGACATTTTCTCTTCCCCTTTCCTGCTGGGTCACAAAAGGCCGTTGACTCTCCTGGCCTTACACGTTGGGATCTGCTTGGCAGAGACATTGGAGACACTGCATCACCCACTAACGTTGCATGGAGAAAGGCTCATTGCAGCGATGGGTCCACAGACCTGCCTGCCTTGCCTGACTCCTGCCTGCCCAGTGCCTGGCCCCCAGGAAGGCTTGAGAGCAGGGGAAAACTTTGGGGTGCCCAGTTCTTCTTCTAAGGACTGTGGCTGAGATCTTGTCTGTAGGTGGTGGCAGCAGGACTAAGATGGGAGGGGGAAAAGGCACCTTGAATTATTTCCTATTTGTCCTTAAACACAGTGCAAACATGCTGGCACTCATCCAGAAGGACTGAGGGAGCCATTCCTGGAAGACGGGTCTTTGAAACCAATGCTCCTTTCCAAGGCAGTGATTTAAGACCCCTGACGAAGAAGAAACACAAAGCACAGCTTCAGAGGAGGCGTTTCTCCCAGCCAGGTTTGCTGAGGCTGTTACTGGAGCTCAGCCAGGTCCCCACGTCCCTCCTGCCCCGTGCCAGCCGTAGGAGTCCCACCCAACCACACTGCCATGAGAATGCATGGCAGCCCCACTGGCAGGCGTCACCTCCCTTTGGGAAGGGGTGCCATGGGGACAGTGTTGTCCCTCCCCCACTCCAAGCTGGAGCAACCCTGTCTTGTGCTACAGACACCAGTTCTGCTTTAGGATGGGGACGGGCAAGGGTGACCAGAGCTTTTACTGGGAGCCTCCACTTCCCACAGGCCAGGTATGGGCAGGACACCCCTGGCCCCAGCCCACCCAGAGCCTCACAGGTCCCTCAAGGAAGGAGGGGAGGGTGGTTTGTTCCCTCTCCTGGTCATCACATCACTGGTAACACATGGAATCGAATGCTGAGATGGTGCCTGTGCTGCAGGGCCAGCACTCCTGGATGGATACTGATGGGTGGCACAGGCAAAACAAGGGCCAACAGCCAGGGGCTGCAGCTCAGGAGGTTCGAGGTGGACATGGCTGAAAATTTAGTCTCCAGAAGGGTGGTGCAGCCCTGGGATAGGTACCCACAGAGAGGGGGTATCTCCATCCTTGGAGGCTGTCAGGTCTCTTTCGACAAAGCCATGGCCTACTGTTGAGGATAGTCCTCTTCTGAGTGGGACACTGGTCTAGATACCTTCAAAGGTCCTTTCCCACCAACATTACTGTGATCATTGGCTAGAGTTGATCCTGAGAAAAGCTGTCCTGCCCCTACACCACTCTGCTTCTCCAAAGTATGCTGTTTTTTGGGTCAGGCGACAGGATGAGGGTGAAGCACACATGATGGAGCGGCTATGTTTGCTGCAGCACAGCATGCAAGACAGGTACAGCAGGGCTTATGACATAAAGTCCCAGAGCTGGAGAGGAACTGTGGTGGTGCATAATGAGGGCAGAAATTAGAGTGTTACCCACAGCCCTGGAAAGATGCAGCAGAGGGATGATGGGAGGTGGCTGTGGGACAGCCACACATAGGTCCCAGTGGTGGACCTGGGGTAGCACCGTGAAACAAGCTGTGAGCTGCTTTGCTGCCCTCCTAGTGATGACAAGTGACAATTTGACCGGTGTGATCTGTGCAACTGCAATGCAAGGGGGACCAAGGGGGACAGCAGTCTAGCAGAGATACATGGAGGGAAGATGAGACAAAGCAGCTGAGATGCAGGACCTACAGGAACATATTTGATGCTTCCCAAACCCACCCTGCTCAGCTGGAGCTCCTCAACAGAATCATCCTCATTTTCCTTCTTCATGAATCTTGACCTGCACTGAAACTGCAAGGGCAACAACACAGGGAAATCCTGCAAACCCGAGGGCTGCCCTGGCATGGACAGTGCTGGGAAGGAGCAAAACTCCTCTTGGGACACCCCACCTGCACTGGCCGCTCTCCCTGTTCCCACCGAGGCTCCCACCCTGCCAGCCTGGGGAGCTACCAGGGCAAGCGTGCCGCTGGGCACTGCCCTATAGCAGCACGCAGGGGTCTGTGCCCAGA